AAAAACCATGACAATTTTAAATTCCTGAGTGCTATTGTTTTAGGAGCAGTTCAATCAAACCCTGGAGTGTTTACCCTCAAAGATGAAATGATTCAAGAGAAGAACACATCAGTGAGACTCGGATGTGTTTGTAACAAGCGGTCAGCCTTTATGGGAGAGGGGGAATAGATCCCTGAAACAGCCTGAGGGGCTTACATGTCAGCTGGGAAGATTGCTTTGACCAAAGACGGAGAAAAAGGATTTTTTACAACAATGGGATCGAAAAAACTAAAAAATCTAAAAAATCTACTTACTAAAATCTAACTTCGCTGTGGGCCACTCCGTCACTCTGGCTTCTCTCCATTAGTGCACGTCCATAGGATCCTGTTTCTGCATGTGTGTGTATATTTCAGCCTATGTGTGTGTTCATGACTAACAGAGTGTAAAAACTGAAATTTCCCCTTGCGGGGATCAATAAAAGTAAATCTTAATCTTAATCTTAATCTTAATCTATTTTTACTGAACAAAGGCCACTGAAGGCACAAGGGAACATTTCAGTATCGGTTAAAAAAAACCAAGTGAAACATCAGAACACAAAGAGAAGAAACACAAAACAGTGAAATTTATTTTGTGATGTCATCATGGACTTGGTAAATAGACATGAGCTTGTATATTTCTTTTCTATTCTTCTGACTACTCAAAGCGCTTTCACACCGCAGGTCACACCTACACATTCACACACTGATGGTAGAGGCTGTTATGTAAGGCCCCGTGTCCACCTAACGTTTTTTTCTCTGTTGCAAGTCTAGCTTCAGGTAATTTAAATTCAAGTCAGACAAATCAGAAAATACTGATCATCTATATGATTCAGAATATTACTTCTTCCAAAGTTAAAAAATTGCTTTAAGCTTCCCATGAAAGGTCTGTCAGAAGGCTAATTCTGCATTTCTGTGTCTTCATACAAATCTGATTGATGGATGAGACTTTTAGCAGTCTATGGATCAGTGTTTACTGCCAATAGTGCCAAAAATGAGCTTGTTCAGTTAATAATATTTACGTTATGTCATAACTTCAATTGGACTTCTAATGCATGTAGTTGATGAGGAGTTCATCATAAAAGGGGATAATCAAAGGTCTTATTCGCTAATCAGCAACTCACAGAGTTCATGAGTGTGGTGCATGCACATAAAGTTCTGAGAAGGAGTTAATGGTACAAAGTGCTGGATGAGTCATTGATGTATTTGTTTTCATTGTCAATCTCTGTCAATCTCATTAACAATGCAAACAAGAAAACTTTGTTTGGTCGGATGCCTTCATATCAGTGAGGATTACAAACACCAAACATACAAACCTTCATTACACCTGTGGTACACATTGCAGATCAGCTATAACAACGGCACAAAAAAGAATATATATATCAACTGGTAGAGTCGGTCGTTTCTCAAACGAAAGGTCAGGAGTTCAATCCCCAGCTCCTGCAGCAACATGTCCGATGTGTCCTTGGTCCCGCTGCTTCGTCAGCGGCGTATGAATGGGATTTCGTTACTTCTGATGCTCTCACTACATAGAAACCTCTACCATCAGGGTGTGAATGTATATGTGTGACATGTGTGGCTGTGTAAAAGTGCTGTGAGTAATCAGAAGACTAGAAAAGCGCTTTACAAGCTCAAGTCCATTTACCATTTAATTATCCCACCCTAAACTGGCAATGTATATGTTTTTGTTTTTATCTCCCCTGAAAAGTGTTGGATCCATGGGGGGACGTTTCTTTGACAGTAAATCATCTATGATTTAATTTAGACTTGTCTTGAAGAAATTGTATCCTCAGCAGTCATGATGATCCCACTTTGGGTCAGTTCATCATTGGAGTAATGGACGCATCAGTGTCGATATGATTGTTTGTGAAAGTGTCCAGATGTGCCGCTCCACTGTCCCATGCATTGAAACAGCTGTGAGAACAACTTTGATCATTAGTATCTCTTAGCTCTCCTGCACAGTCTGCTGTTAGTCTGGGTTATTTATCACGTTTGCATACACTCCTGCAGTGTGTACATTTAGTGAATTCCCACTTATATTTAATAAAAACATCCTCTTTTCACCACCAGGATGGGGTTGCTTGCCAAAAGTGTTTTGGTTCCTCATCAGGTCCTGCAGGGAGCCCAGAGGAGAGTTGTGATTTTGACATGACTCTGCAAGGAGAGCTCAAGGATGGTGTAGGACAGCTGTCCCCCATGGTCATTACTGCTGAACCTCAAACACACTCATCACCTCTCTCTGTCTCGCAGAGGTCTCCTCCCCATTCACAGAGGTCCTCTCCTTCTCTCTGGTGGGTTCGTTGTCTTTTCCCTCTCCCTCACTGCATTCAGAATAAATGCTGTCCTCTGCAGTCTCCCTCATGTCCTTCCCTACTCACCCCTCTGACCCCCACAGCATGTCTCATTGATGACTGATGGTCCTTGCTGCTTCCCTCAGTCAGCCCTAATAAAAGTCATAAACTCATGTTCCATACATACCTATGGGACTTCACTGTCCAGAGAACAAGAATAGAGGAGGGGGCAGAGTGGGTGGAGGGCACAGACTGTGAAGGGGAAAAGTCGACATTTTAAAACATAGCAGTAATTGAGTTTAAAAAGAAACACAACAAAATTAAAGAAGGTGTCAAGAAAGGTGTAGAAACAATCCAAACCCTGCTGAATGATGAGGATGAGTGAGCAGAGATTCATGATGAAGAGTGACGGTGCTCCATCTCCTGCTTCTTGTAAACTTTCAGAGAGCTCCTCCAGGGTTTTTGTGTTGGCGTCGGGCCCCCGGCATGGCAGCTGACTCGTGTCTCCTTCAAGGTCTTTCTATTTCTCTTCGACAGGCAATCTCTGTGCGTCTTCCTCTTCCCTTCACCTCCTCTAACGGTGTGATCAATGGGTAGTTTACTTCACCCTGTTCATTGATCTTTTGACTGCCTTCCCGCTGCTTCTCATACAGCAGGAACTAAATCAAGAACAAAACATTTTGAAAAATGTGTTAAGGGTTGGCAGGTGATATCTGGAGGGGAGCAGACAGCTGTTGTTTTACTCTTACTCTCTCTCTCTGTGGATGTTTTGGAGAATTTTGAAAACAGGTTAATTTCCCTGAGTTTTAAAAGGGAGACAAAATAAAGACATATGTTTTAACATAAAGAAATAAGCTATTGTGCATGTTACTAGGAGTTAAATGAAATAACTAATACACCACTCTCATGTCTGAACAATCAGGGCCTGACTGCCAAAAGATTTAGCAACTTTTTTACCCGGTCAATCTGTGCAAATGAAACAAAAAGAAACCATATAATTAGTGTTGTAGTACTTGAAATTGGACTTCGAGACTGGTCTCAAGATCACTTTTTGAAGGTCTCGTCTCGGGATCGAAAGCATTTTTACCCGGTCTTGTCTCTCAGACTGGACGGACTCCGGCTTTAAAATCAAGACCACCACTGAAAAGCTTTTTTCCACGTCATCACTGTGATCAGAAGGAAATCATCCATTACTAAAAGAACAAATAACTTTAATTCATTCATAATTTGATTTTTATACGGCCACAACCTTCCACGGTCTAAGTGAGTGACGGATGATGATTTTTCAGTGATATTTTTGGTCTTGGTCTTGTCTCAGTCTCAGAGCACTCTGGTCTCAGGTATGTCTTGGTCTCAGTTAGTGTGGTCTCAACTACAACACTACGTCTATTTCACACATGCAGGGGTTAAATTCACCCATGACTGCACTGAAGAGCAAACAGCATCTCTAAACATCGGTGGTGGTTAAAGGAATTTAAATGATCCATTTTACAGTCATTTGAGTTAAATTGTCCCCTTTCTATGTAAAAAAAGTATTTAATTCACAAACACCGGCGGTAACAGCCACCCCGATGAGAGTGAAGCAGAAACAGTCTGTTGAGAGCAGGTGGTGACTGTGCCGCAGTATTTTAAGAGAAGTCAACAGTTCAACCTCTGTATGACTTAAAATGAAATGTTCTGTATGTGAAGACTGTAAATATTACTTTATCATCACTATTAGGGGTTCAATCTGTCCAGCTGTTAGCAGCTCAACACTTCATCCACAAGTGTGCAGCGCAGCAGGATGCACGTTTATTTCTCTTCTTCAAGTTGTCCTTGCTTACTCGATCAGAGAGGAAGCTTTGTTTTAAATGTTATAACTCATGTTGTACTTTTCTAATATGGCAACAAAATTGACCCTAAAAAGGTTTTACCTTCCTCTCTGAGCTCCTCATCTTTATGTGGAATAAACAGCTCGGTCAGCATGAGAGCGCAGCTCCATGCAAAATCAAGTTGCAGACTGCTTTTCCCACATAAAGACCATAACAAGAAAAAACTGCACAGAGTAGGACACCTTTTGGTTCATGTTTGCACCTTTCAATCATTTAAATCAGGTTACTCTGTTACTTCATGATCTTTATTGGGTGACTTGCAGCTTCTACCTGCAAGTAAACAGCATTGGCCTTTAATTACAAACCTGTGGAATTCAAACGTAGGTGTTATTTTTGCTATTTTGAATTTCTTTGAAAAAGACAAGATATCAAATGTTAAATTGAACATTGGAGGTTAGGCCTGGGAATCTTCAGGTGACTCACAATTTGATTTTGATACTTTGGGTCACGATTCAATTCAAAATCCATTTTCGATTCAAAATTATTCTGGATTCATGATTCAAAATCTATTTTTGAATTAGTCCATACTTCAGGATCTGCTCCAGTCGTCAGTGAGATTGACTGAATTTCTTGATGCTACATTTGGCTTTCTGCTGAGTTAGAGCTTTGAAAAAAATCATGTTTTGGAAGTTATGAATTTATTTAAAATCTCAGAAGATAAGAATCGTGATTTTTACATAAATTGTTTTTTTATTGGAGGTGCTGTTACTGTCATTGGATAGAGCCATGACCTGCTGCTGTTTTTTAAACTTTTCCTTTACTGGACATCTCCTTAATCCCTCCCCTATCCCCTGTGTCTCCTTCTTTGTCTCTTTGCTCCGCAGTGTAAAGATGGTGCTGCTGTGGACAGCCGGCGACGTCTTCAAGACCACCTACTTTGTGATGAATGAGAGCCCGGCTCAGTTCGCTGTTTGTGGCTCAGTTCAGATCCTTATCGACGTGGCCATCCTGCTGCAGGTCCTCTTCTACAGCCAAGACACACGGACCAAGCTGGGATGAACAAGGATGTTGCTATCTGCAAAAGAAAAAAAACAACACAAGGCTCCTAGGTTCATTTCATTTGGTGTAGTATCAAGGCTTAAAAAAAAGAGCTGCAAAGATGATAGAATTATCCTAGGACACGTTAAGCTACCAAATTATGGAGAAAGCCAAAAGCAGTGTAGATTTGTTAGGTGTTCCGCCTTGATTTAAAATATTCGGTCTTAAAGGTTCATTCAGTTTAAAAATCTACCTTCAAGTCCAATGAGGCAAACCGCCTGAGCTTTGAACAAATTATCCACAGCAGCATTAACAATAAGAGCACTTAAAAACAAAAGATTAAGATTTTTTAAGCGAGATAAGGATGTGTTTTTTTTTATATTTGATACTATTTATTTGTTTCCTGTTGAACACAACTTGTATGCTGGACTCCAAGAGGACATGTGGAAACATGACTCACTCCTGCAGCTCACTAGCAGCAGATCTGTCATGGCAGCTGTTACAACCAGTCCTGCACTGGTAGCCCTGCACTGGAATCTCCTGCCTGACTTATGAGCCTCCCACTTCACACTCCACACCTAACATAAGACCGGCCTCATGATGCAGAGAGAAAGAGTGTGTGTGTGTGTGTGTGTGTGTGTGTGTGTGTGTGTGTGTGTGTGTGTGTGTGTGTGTGTGTGTGTGTGTGTGTGTGTGTGTGTGTGTGTGTGTGTGTGTGTGTGTGTGTGTGTGTGTGTGTGTGTGTGTGTCATGCATGCTGGTGTTTCTCCACAGCATATATTGATTTTTGCCATTGGCATCCAGTGCAAGCCGAGGCTACAGAAGGTATGCAAAGTAAGAGGAACTATATAGGACATCAGTCTGTTGTATTTGTGCTTCAGGGTGTGATTGAAGTGCAGGTCCATACATTAATGAAACAGTAAACAATGCTGCAATGCTCTGCGCCTGCCTATGTCACAGACTCTTTAGTCGACACTAAGAAATACGTCTGATTGCAGGTCAAATACTAAAGAATTAGTTACTATTTGATATTTGTGCTATTATCATATCCATCACGTGAGTTATCGCCTCATCATGTTTTTAATATGAAAAGAAAGTAACACAGAAAAATAATCATCAATCAGTAACCTTGAAATCCACGTGTCCTGCAGAAACATTGCAAATAATCAACCTTGATCTTTTATTCAACATAGGAAGAAATACTTTGACAATATTTTATAGCTATGTTTAATAATGTATGAATTAAATGACCCTTTTTCCAATATTTCACACTCAGTGTGGAGAGTTCAGAAAGAAACTTTCAGCGACTGGATGATGATTATTCACATGCTGAGGGGGGCTTCAGCTTATGTTCCAGGAGTAAGACATTTCCCAGTGTTATTTTCTCACCCCTTAAAAGTAATGATACAAAATATTGAGCTTGTTTTGTGAAACTCAAATCAAAACTTTTTACCTAACTCGTTCCACATGCAGAGCGTCATGTACCCAGGATGACCAAAGATTATACATTTTAAATAAGAATAATAATTACAGACAAAGCTGTTTTAACTTTTGGATAAATTATTACCCTAAGGCCCCGTGTCCACCCAGCGTTTTTCCTGGTAGAAAAGCGCTGGCTGTGCGCTCAGGAGAGCTTGCATGGAGCGTTGGTGCGCTGAGAAGAAACACGCTGCACGCTCGTCCTGTTTCTATGACAACAATCTGTTGACAACGACCGCTGTATGACCGACGCAGCTCTGTTGCTCTTTACTGCATGTTTTATAGTTAAGATCGTTTTTATCCTGATCAGACACGGAGCAAACAGGATGTGGGTATAAGACAAGATCTGTTGGCGACAAAAATACGGGCAGTATCTTATATTTGAAAAGAGTGCAGGTTGAAAGATTTTCTGTATTTCTCCAGTCACAGCCTGCTGCTGCAAACGCTGTCTCCTCATTCAGAAAAAAAAACGGCAGGTAGACACGGGGAACTAACGATGCATTTTATGTTACTTTAAAGTCAATCAAGGGAAGGCTTAAATAGGACGTTTTATAACCCCTCTTTTTGTCAACAACAAAAGCTATACAGCAACTTTGAGTCCATCTCTTAGCTCCAAATAATTTGTCTTCAGTCCCTTACATTGAAATTCCTTTTCTTGTGATGTGCATGAGGCGATCTGAAGAAGTAAACAGACTTTAAAGCCTCACCAGAAATATCCTTGTAATAAAACATCATTACATCATTTCAGCCATCCAAAATGCTAACTTTTTTTTACCAAATATTTTAATCAAAAGTTAAATAAGTTATTTATAATGAATCACTAATTCAACGACATATTCTTAGGGGAAGTGTTTTTTAAGCGCTTTCTTGATGGTTTCCTCTTAAAGCACTGCATGAAACAAATCAGTGCCAGCAGCTGATTAGTAGTCAGAGCAGGTTCCTATAACTCCCCCCCAGGCTTGTGTTAATTAAGAAATAAATCTATTGCACCTGCTTATAAAGTCCACCAGCCAGCGTTTTAACTTAGCAGCCAGTTAGTGTCCGTCTGTTCCTCTAAAGCCTTGTGTTTGCAGATTCTCCTTCACTGAACAACTTTGGAGAATTGCACACTGCGGGGGTTTTTGGTTTGCATCAGTCAGACTACCTCTTGTTGAAGCTGCCAGTATGCCTCAGTATACCTCATCTATATAACATGCTTTCAGTTGTATAAGTGGTGTAATTCTCAGGAACAGCATGCTGTGATCCGACAACTTACGAGATCCCTTAGACTTAAACATGGCCAGAGTTTCCTCATATTAACGTCAGGTTTTAACGTTTGATTATTGATCTTTGTCTGAAGCATAAGTTTGACATACAATCTGATACTACTCTCATGTCTGTACAGTAAATATGTAACTACAACTAACTGTGGATTAGCTTAGCCTAACATAGAGCTGCAAAAGATGACAAATTCAGCTTAAGCCAACTTTATTTTTGATGAATAAAGGCTGAAATTGGCAATGTAAAAAGCAACTCATAAGCCTGTAGGTGCAACTAGCTTTTAAAGTGAATGAGAACTGAGACACTGATTGATTTAAATAATGTGGCACCCAATACACCTAATCAAGCGACTGTATCCATCCTGTTTGTGCCCTGCACCTCACCAAGCGCCCGGATTGTGCACTGTCTAACTCGCTAAATGTAGTTAGACACGCCCCCTACACACTTGGCCGTGCACTTCAAACCATGAGCTTTAGATTGTACACACAAAGTAAATAAGGACGTGTCCAGGCTACTTGGACACGTCGTCGCGCACCAAAACTCTTTGCACCTGGTGTACCATAGGCCTAAAAACTCTGGAGGTTTCTGATTCAGGTGTTGAAATATCTTCACAAATTATCCCTGTTCAGTTTTCAGTCTTCACCTTGTCTTCATTTGGACTTATCAATCCAGACCTCACATGTTAAACTTAGTAAGAGGCGCTTTCAATCGTAAGGCTGCTTGCTGTAGCTTCATATTTGCCGTACAGATAAAAAGATTGAGTTTCAATCGATCTATCCTCACATCGTGCAAGAGAACTTGCACGATACTATGGGTTTGATTGATTTAATTACACCAAAAGAGGACTAAAAAACAATAGTTACAGCTTAAATGTTTCTGTTGAAGCACGAAGCAGCCATTTTTGATTTTAACTCGGGCTACTGAAGGTTCTCTGAGTGTCCAAGTCGGAATTCATACTTTTGGGGGGCGTTCTTGATGACGTATCAAACCCCCATTGGAATTTCCCACTTCTGAGATCAAATAGAAAACACATTAATCTCTGTGAAGAAGAACTCATTTGTATTTTTTTATGGTATCAGTTTGAATACAGGACAGATGAAATATATAATCTATATGTTTATGTATGAATACGTATCTCAAAGGAAGTGTTGGAGTATACACATGGGATGTGTTTGATGAATGAACTGTGCCAAATAACCATGAGTATATCAGTCTATGTATCCAAAATGACTGTTCTGCAGGAGCTGCTGTAATAAGTGTTGGAGTGACATTTATAAAGGGGCTCAGGTTACTGATAGACTTTAGTGACATTCACTTTTGTGGTTTCTGTGACCTTCCATTGTGTGTTTCCCTCTGTGTGGGTATGCATTGGTTCTTCAGTTCATCTTATCCAACATTATATCTGTAAGCAATATTGTGAGCAGCATGTCTCTTATCTCCTGTTCCCTGCAGCATACCACCGTTGTGTTGCGTTTGCATTATTTCTGTATTCTATATGCTCTTATCACCAGATGTGTATCTTTATTTTTTCTCTCTCAGCAGAAGCTCAGGGTGGAACCTCGCTGGATTTAGCTTAACATTTTGGGCTTTGTATAGCCTTTTTTTATTCAAGGGCGTTTGGACAGATTAGCACACACACACTGAGTGGTTGTGATAATCCTTCAGCCTCGTTCACATTCTGGTTACTTTGCTTTTTGCCCAACCCATAACACATTCATATAAGGAAAGGGGACTTTGTAGTCCTAGAGAGGGAGTGCTCTGATTGTTACTTCTACCACATACAGGATGAATCTGTATTTCATCGATTACCAAATTTTATAATTATTAGTTTGTTTTTATAATTATCATCTGTTGATTTAGGAGATGTATGTAAATGATCTGTGAAACCAAACGTAAATGCTGCCTTTAAAGTATCTTAAAGCTCTTGTGAGGAGTTTTTAACTGGCTACCAAACAGACTGAAATGAATACTGATACCTTTTTATGACCAACAAAAACAAACAAAATAATTGGCAGAAAGACTGATGATTTCTATTGGCTGTTGTAAATGTTTGATGATGATTCTACCAGGCGATAGGTGTCGGACAAAGTGATCCTTTTTGTACGTCTTCCCCTGAAAAAAATATTGATGATAAATTTGCCTTTATGAATTAAGCACAGGTGGAGATTTCTCATTTTAAAAAAACACTACTCACTCAAGTTCAGGACAAGACATACGACATATGACTTTGTCCAGATGGGGCGCCAAAAGCCATACAATCTGAGAGTTCCTCACAGGAGCTTTAAATTTAACCAGAACAAAGACAAATGCACATTGAAATGAGATGTGACATCATGATTATTACCGTATTATGTACAAGTCTGTGATTCCACTGAAATGTAAAAACAAACTCCCAAATGTTACACTTTAAGTGGTTTTTACTATCTGATGACAGCTGTATGTATGTGAAATATTTATCATGTTATTGTCTCACATATAAACTATTTATATTTCAGCATGTGCTCCAGTGTTGTTACTGTCTTCAGGCAAAAGAAAACGTTTGACTTTAAAGTTACAAATTTCTGGTTTAGACAACATTTCCCAAGAATCAGTTCCCTTATTTCCCAACAATTCCTACTTTGCAGTACAAAAAAAATGAAACAGGCTCACACCAGTCTATTGCACATCAGTATATAATCAGTGTTGGTAAATCCCACGGCATGCTTGTGTAGGTTCAGGGTCATATTTGTGCAGAAACATCTCCAATTAAAGGATTTCAATACATCTCTTTATATTTTCTGGGAAGCACTTTCTACTAAGAAGCTTCTCTATGTTCTCAAACACATCAGTGCACTCTCTGAAAACGATGCCCAAATCGTCCAATGAGGCAAGAAAAGCCATGGAAATACATTTCAAATGTCTGTATAGCTCA